CACAACTTTTCTTTTTTTGCGGTGCTTCAGATGTCGTTTCTCCTTCCTGCATCATGTAAATGCGCTGAAATATAACTTCTTCCTTTCATGTGATTTTGACGTTCGTCAGTTCATTCCTTTCTGGTGTTGTAATTTTAACGGCCAGCAATGTACTTTTCTCCAACTACATACAATAAGACAACTGCATGCAAGTATGCAAATTTCGCCCAATCTGCCACATTGTGAGAGGAAATAAGGGCAGGATATTTATCAACTGTTGCTATAACAAGAAAGCATGGGTCGTCTCTGGGCAGCACAATTTTAGATTTGTAGACATACAGTACATAACATTGCTTCCTCTAAGAAGACACATCTAAATAAATTCTATGTAAAAATTTGCCCAATCAGTTATTTCGTTTCTAAGAGGTAGAGATAGACTTATGATGCCATTCACTTTACATAAACAGAAAGGTCTCTTTAACAGGCTCCCAAAACACCAATTAATTTTAAAAAGCAATAAGCATAGTGCATACCCGATGTGTTAAGGCGAGGAGGCATCACTTCATAAAACTGCTACTGCTAACAATCGCATCTGATGTGCATAATCTGCATAAAACCATTAACACTTTACAGCCAGCTAATCGATTTAGAAATATTATTGCTTGAGTATAGTTTAGTTTATTTAATTATGGCAAAGCACTTGAGGGCTATCTGCCTAAAAGGAGGGATGCACACACGGAGTACTTTCTAAGGGAAACTGGCTCGTATATACGTTACACATGGGGAAAAACATGAAAACAAGTTGTATTCTATATTGGAAAGTTTTTGTAATTTGTTTATTTTTATTTTAAACTAAAATTAAGATTTTTTTTTTTTTTTTTTTTTTTTTTTTTTTTAATTCTGCATAGTAGAATTATTGGAAATAAGTGTCATTCTGAAAATTTAACGTTTAGATGTCAATGTATTTGAATCACAAAGTGTAGCCAACAAAATGTGTTGTAAATGAAAGCTGAAAGGAATTATGTAGGTTACATTATATATGTACTGCTGACCTTATTAATATTTTATAGCCCACCAGCGGTCGAGCGGTAAAGTCGCTGAACACTGGTAGTTCGGTCCGAGGTTCGAATCCCGCGAACGGGCTGGCTGCATGGGCGTTTTCGTGGTTTTCCCCATGTGTAACGTGTATACGAGCCAGTTTCCCTTAGAAAGTCCTCCACGAAAGGCATCCCTCCCCTTAGGCAGATAGCCCTCGTGTGCTTTGCCATAATTAAATACACCACACCACACCATTAATATTTTATATGTATTTAGTTAAGGATGAATCGAAAAGAAACTATAAAAAATATTGTAATATTTGTGCAAAAGATGTTTACATAGAAACGGTATATTGAACTTTTCATCATCACTTCTGTCTATGAAAAAAGTCAGTTTTGCAAATTTCCATAACGCATTAATATATCAAAATAAAATACTATTTGGGAAATTTCTAAAATAAAATTCAGATGTCTCAAAGTCTTTGGTGTCATTTGCATTCTGAAATGTATGTTGAGACATGGTAATAAATATTTTTATTTTTGGTACAAATGTAGAGACATTAGGATTTCTTTTTGGAGGCCGGAGAGATGAAAAATTAGCAATCGCCTTCGCCAGGAATCGAACAACGAACCTCTGGAATACCGACCCAGCGTGCAGAAGCACTGCACCACGAAGGCACGTTAGGAAGGCGGGAGAAATACCTTATATTCTCCCCCTTTTAAAGGATGAATGGCGTTTTTAGGGGACCCAATCGCCAAATCCTGGGTGAGGAGAATCATCATCCAAAACCCTTTTAGTTTGGGCGCCACTGTAAAGACAATAGGAATTTTTTTTTTTTTTTTTTGGAAGCAGGCAAAATGAAAAATTAGCAACCGTCTTCGCCGAGAATTGAACCATGGACCTCTGGAATACCAGCCCATCGTGCAGAACCACTACACCACGAAGGCACGCTAGGAAGGCGGGAGAAATGCCTTATACAGATATTTAAATAAACTCATACTGCAAGTTTCATTTGTAGTTACATAGCCTGTAAAACTGTAGTACATCTGATTTATATGTACAGTGTAGAGACATTAGGATTTTTTGGAAGCATCAAAGATGAAAAATGAGCAATCGCCTTCGCCGGGAATCGCACCACGGACTTCTGGAATACGCGCCCAGCGTGCAAACCACCACACCACGAAAGCATGCCAAGAAGGCGGAAGAATTACCTTATATACTTCCTGTTTTAAAGGGCGACTGGGGTTTTTACGGGACCCAATCGCCAAATCCTGGGTGAGGAGAAACTTCATCCAACACCCTTTTAATTCGGGCGCCACTATAGAGACATTAGGATTTTTTGAAAGCATGAAAGATGAAAAATGAGCAACCGCCTTCGCCGGGAATCGCACCACGGACCTCTGGAATACGCGCCCAACGTGCAGACCACCACACTACGAAGACATGCCAAGAAGGCGGGAACCTCATAACAGAAGCTTCAAATAATAAATCAAATACAGTATTGCTTGACGCCAGTTTTTAAACGAAGGGATGTAATTGTTATTTTATCTAAATTATGCAAAAAGCTCAAAAGTATATTCATTTAGAAATTACATTAATTTCCGCTACTTGCGTATCATCCCGTCGACTGGCCAACTAGTGTGCTTTAGTGCCAATTACGGATGACTATTTTTTTAGAATTCTGCAGTTATGACTCGGCCATTGGCAACTGTTGCCGAAATTGGCAAACCGTTGCCGAAATGTCTAATGTCCTAATGTCTGCGAGCGGTCAACACGGTAATAGGTAAGTATCTAATTTCCGTTAGTGATATATGAAGCATATTCCTAAAGAATGCACTATATATGCTTGATCAAAGAGAAACTATCATAATTTCTATAAAGTTGTAGAGTTATATTAGCATTTTTTGAAGTAGGAGATGTGATAAGTGTGCAATGCACACTCCACGACTCGAACCTAGGCCTCGCGATTGCGCATCGAGTGTGCTGCCGTTACACCACGAAGGCATGCAGAAAGGAGTGAGAAAATACATTGTAGAGACATTAGGATTTTTGAAACAGAAAACTGAAGAAATATGCAATGCCCTTGCCGGGATCAAACTTGGGCCTCTCAATATGCGCTGAACACCACGAAGGCATGAAGAAAGGAGGGAAAAAATACCTTACGTACTACCCCTTGGGGACCCAATCCCCAACTCCTGGTGGTGAAGAATCATCATCCACTACATCTTTTAGTTCGGGCGCCTTTTTAGTCCTTTTCAGTTAGAGTTATTAGGATTTTTTGAAGCAGGAGATGTGAAAAATGTGCAATGCCCTCACCGGGACTCGTACCTAGACCTCTCGAATACGCGGCGAGTGTGCTACCGTTACATCACGAAGGCATGCAGAAAAGAGGGCGAAAAATGCCTTATTATGTGAACAGTAATAAGTCAAATGCAGTTTTGAAATTGCTGTTTATCTTGATAAGATTGATTTTTTTGTTATAAGTAAATAAGAACATATGATCATCTCAAATTATAGCATTTTTATAAGAATAATACCAATAAGTTGCTACTTTTATAATAATGTTCTTTGCTATGCTGGGGTAGTAAACAAACAGCAAACGTGATAAAGCAAAAGTTGCCAAATGCAAGATTCTGTAACCCTATGCTTTTCAATTTTAACCAGTCAAAATTAGAAGACAAGTCCTGTAGGCTTTGTGAATATGCTCTTGACGTATCATGATTATCTGTAAAAGTGTCTGAATAAAATCAGAGTGGTTATTTTTGCAACACCCTCACTTTATAAATGATTTCATGACTTAACCACCTGAAATCAGGGGCATTTCTTCCAATGGTGTTTTTCAATTTTGTTAAATGGCAGTATTGTACATGCCTGAATGGCTAACACTAGGCATAGGATTAAAAAAAAGTTTTAAAATTCTTACTAATGAATTTTTTAACTATCTTTGTAGGATTGCTATTGATCTGGAATCTGAAGTAAAGTCCTGCAGACTCTACTAGAGAAGTTAATGAGTTATCGCTACATCTGAAATATTACGACAAAATTTTGTTCAAAATTTTATTTATTCTGAACTTTAACAGAAAAGGCATGACTTATGCCTTTAGTGACGATGTAATAAGACTGTTATAAGAAATAACAGTTAAATAAATTTAAACATTGATAAAGTAGTCTAAGACTACACATTCAATAAACTAAGCTATAAGCTGGCTCATTATTTTGCTGGCGCTTAAATATCAGCTAGTAAGAAAATGAAAAAAACAGAATAATGACTTTTTGTTAAAGCTGATGAAATTCTAACTGTGCAGCACTAGTACAAGAAAATCTGTCTCTCTCAAAGATTCAAAATCCTCAGCTTATATACCAGGGTTGGGCTAAACTTCATGTCAGTAAGAGCCGCACGTTTGAATTCAGGAATGTTCGAGAGCCGCATCTAGATTTTCTAAAAGCCACAAGTTCATATTTATATCATTATAGAAGTAGTGGAGGAGGTTTTAAATAGAAAGAAATTCCTCACAAATTTGTAAAAAGAGTCTAAACTAATTAATTACCTCTTTTTGGACACTGAATAATTTTAGTTTACCATATTTCATACATATATCTTATATGTACGAGCCACACAAATTGCCTGCGAGAGCCATATCAGGCTCGCGAGCCGCATTTTGGCCACCCTGTTATATACTCTAAAAGCTAATTTGTATTCTTGTGAGGAAAGAAGTTACGGTAAATATCAAAATCATAATAACTGGTTAATTAACATAAGAACCTTACCTCCTCTTGCAAGGAATTTCCTCTTTTCTTTGTGGTGTAATTGGAAAGCACATACGGCTAGTTTCGGAGTTCAAATCCTGGCGAGGATATTACTGATTTTTCCTGTTTCGAAAAGACAACAGACTATATTAGTTCCAAAATATATCTATTAACAATAAATTAATTCGTTTTATATATGTACAGCTATAAAGATTTTTTTTTTTTCTTCTTTTAAGCACAAGATTTTGAAGATGATAATACTGAAGCAAATTTTCTCATGAAAAAAGCACGACTTAAAATTTCATTTGACTTGTAAGTATTATCAAACATAACATTTTAAAATCATTTACGCACGTATATATATATATATATATATATATATATATAATGTTGTATGAACTTAAATCCATTTAGTGCGAATACAAGTTATTATTACTTGCGCAATTGCTGCAAAGTTAGTTAATAATAATTTATTTCCTAAACAGTATTGATTAATTGATTATATTATCTCCTAAGTTTAATTAAAGTAGAATTATTTTTAAAAATGTGCATCCATACTGGTTAAGTTATATTTTCAAAGATGTTCGAAGTAATTTGAAAGCAAAATGTTAATAATGTTTTAACGGGGACTGGAGTTAAATCATCACGAAGAATAATATTTACAATTGTAAAAGTAAAATTAAAACATGTAATTATTGTCATTGATCGAAAATTAGTTGACTTTTCAAGGGGAACAAACCAACTCCCGTTCAATGATCAATAATTGATAAAAATACGTAAATATGAAAGTGTTTCGTCTTTACTCGAGTTATAAGTTAAAGCCAAACCGGCAATTCTAGTCAGGCCAAATATTTCCGCGAATAGTTGTTACTCAAAGAACTTATTCTCATGAAGCATTTTAGTCAATTCAATTTGGAGTAAAAATCAATTACTGTAGAGAATCTGTAAAACTCGAGTAATCGTCCCCGACACTATCATCTTTATGTATTTGAGTACTATATTATTTGTAGAAATTAAACATTGGAAATTGTCATTATGAAATCGAAATCAAAGTAAAGTTGAAATAAACATAGAAGATTATAAAAAAGATAAATAATGCAAACTTTGTAAAAACAAATCAAAGAGACATAAAAATAATATAAAAAATAATATAAAATAAAATAGAAAATAATATAATAAGATCAGTGAATGTACATGAAGATATAAAGGCCAGAAAAGGTATTAAGTAACTTACATTCTTTCTAGTGGGGTAGTTGGCAATGTGTTCTCTTCGTGTCTGACTCAGAAGTGTAGGGTGTCCGAAAATTCTTAGCGGCAGTAGGGGCTTTGAATTATATCAGTCGGTAAGACTTGGGTGAAGAAATTTATGGTAGTGGTGGACTGGAATTCTGGGGAGGGATTTTTGTGAGTTCTTATATCTGAGAGAGACCGTCTGTTAAGATTTTTTAAAAATTATAGTGAATGGAAATTAATTAATTCTGGCTAATTGTCGTGTCGCAATGATTAAGAATTTAAGAAGGAAAAGGCATTTTCGCTGTCCAAGAGCTAGTAGACAGTCTAAAGGCAGGAAATAGGCCCATTTTTTAGTAACAGTATAGTAACAGTATATGTCTGAAGACAATTAGCTTTTTTACAATATATACAATTGAGTAATTACACTATATACAAATCTTTAACTGACAGTCATCCAACTTATACCGCCTTCTCAGGTTTAGGAATAAATTATCATATCCCTATCAGTTAAATGATTTAGAGTGAGTATTTAACGCCTGCTCTTTTAAGGCAATGGTTGATAAATTGAAAGGGAATTAGATTATTTTTTGAGAATTTTGATAAGGATCAAAATTTCGCGTTGTAAATCTATTGTATCTGTGCATATAGTTTTAATTCGTTTGTATTTGATTAATTATAGTATTGTTAATTACTTTTTTGGATATGTTGGAGTTCCCAATTATTAATTTGTAGTATTGAAATTGAAGTTTCTTGTTTTGTCAAAAAGTAAAATTTTTTGTAGTTAATGATTTGAGATCTAGAAAGTCATGCTATTTTGTGAATTATTAGTTTTATAAGTTTAAGACAATTCGTATAAATGTCGGAGGTTTCAATTTTACCAAATATTAATTGTAATAGGTCATCAATAATCTGTAGGTGTGTTTGTAGTAATTTAACTCTTGTGTTGTAGATTTTTTTGGAAGTTAAATTCTTTGACAAATAAAAAATATTAATAAAATAAAATAAAAAGTAAAAAGATCGAGGTGCTGAATGTAAGCCCATTGCAATCCTCTGACTTGTTAAAAAGTTGATTTGAAACTTGATGTAGTTATGAAAAAGTGTGCATTTTAGGTAGGTTTTCCATTTGTCAAGAGTCATGATATTGAGTATATTAGGGAAAAGTTTTGGTAGATCAAGTAGACTGGTATAGATTTCTTCTAGAGGAAGTGAGGTATATAAGTTTCAAAATCATAGCAGTTAAGTTTGGGAGTTAATGGTATGAATGGTATTAATGACAGGAGTGTTATATGAATGATCCAGCAATAGTATGATTAGTGTTACAATCATTGAAAATAAATTTACAGATTTTATTAAGTTGAATTGAAAATAATAGTCTATATTTTTCTTGTAATTATTAGTTCCATTAGCTATAAATCTAAATTTTAATGGTGTTTTGGAATTTGGGAATCGCATAAAGATTAGTAAATCTGTTGTAGTTTGGCATGAAAGTAATATTGAGTTTCTTATGAAAAGTTTAATCCTGTTTATTATAGATGTTTCTGTAAGGTGGCTGATTGATAAGTAGTTGCGTGAGAAGTTTTTATGAATAATCTCAGTGTAGAATTGTTTTCATATAATGCTAAAGTTATTAGTTGCTTTATTATTTTTGTAATAGTAAAAAGCGTTTAATTTTCGAGTACTAATATCAGATGTAAGTTGCGACCAGTTCAGTGTACTTTAAATTTGAGGTGACTGATTTCTGTGGATATGCGTTGAAGAATTTTAGCTTCCATTTTAAGAAGGTATCTATGGGAAATTCAGTTGATAGCTGCTTAACTATAAATTCGTTGATGTTGTTTTCGAAAGTCTTGTAACAGTAATTTGTAGTCATGTTTGACTGGTCTAAATTTTGTACATAACTCATTAGTGTTTTAGTTGATGGTTTTGTATGATATTCAGGTTGCCAGTAATTATGTGCTGGTGATGAGAATCTACGTAATTGCTGTAAATTGGTGTCTTAAATGTCATTCTGCAGTTTCATCTATTCTGGTGGTTAGTAAGCAAGTTGCTTAAGGTCCTTTGATATTTAAATGCAATCATTGGATAGTGTCAACTGCGGGGAAGTAATCTTTACAATCTCTTGATTCTTGAGAATGAATATTGTCAAACTGCGGATGCAGAAAATTGACTTTAAAAATAATTTTGCGTGAGTGAGACTATTAGAGAGTCTGAAAAGACTAAAATCAAGAATCATGTCTTTAATGATTTGTATGTCGTCGTAGCTTTCTTGAATGAATTTTTTAGTTTGATAAGGAATTTATTAGTACAGGAGTGTAACCAGTTGAGAAGTTTCTTGGGAAAGCAGTCTGAGTCAAAAAACATTTCAATTGTTTTTTCAATGCAAGTGTATCCAAAGTGAATAAAAATCTCGCATTATTTTATTTTGCTTCCTCTTTTTCCTCTCTGCGTTTTGATGCTGTAGAGTTTAAATTGGCTGAAAATAGACTTCTTAGAAGTATCTCTATGACTAGTATATAAGTGTTAAGTCCATATGATAAAGTGAACGTTGTTTTAGTATATAGAGAGATTCCTGAAAAATTCGTGTTTTGTGATTGGGTATTATATCTAGTATCTGAAGTTGAATAGAGTTGAAGTCATGGTGTTTAAAGTGTTCTAAATTCTGCTGTATTAAGTGTGATGGTGTACTATTTACTGTTTTTTTTTGTGCGTTGATTTTTTGATTTGAGCTCTATGGTATTGATTCGAAAGTTAAGATTTGTTTTTAGTCTGTCCTATATATTAATATGTTAGTACCGCATGTAATCATGTAAAACAGTTAAATGTTTTTCATAGAAATTGTTTTGGTTTACTGTAGCAGGCATGGCGTTAAATTTTCAAGTTTGTCATCTAGTGGAATGACATTTAGTGATTAATATGGTTAACTAGCAAGATATAAAAGTAGGAGGCTGCTAACCTTCAATACAGTAAAGTTTTTGTATAAGAACTTAAACTTAAAAAGTTGGAGATAATATATAAAGTGGGGAATTGGTAAGAGATAAATAGCGCTAATAGCTGCTATTTAGCATATCAAATGTTGTATGACTTAAATCCATTTAGTGCGAATACAAGTTATTATTACGCGCAATTTCTGCAAGTTAGTTAATATAATTATTTCCTAAACAGTATTGATTAATGATTAATTATCTCCTAAGTTAATAAGTAGAATTATTAAAAAAGTGTGCATCCATACTGGTAAGTTATATTTGAAAGATGTTTTGAGTAATTTAAAGCAAAATGTTAATAATGTTTTTAACGGGGACTGGAGTTAAATCATCACGAAGATAATATTACAATTGTAAAAGTAAAAATTAAACATGTAATTATTGTCATTGATCGGAAATTAGTTGACTTTCAAGGAACAAACCAACTCCCGTTTCATGATCAATAATGATAAAAATACGTAAATATGAAAGGGTTCGTCTTTACTCGAGTTTAAGTTTAAAGCCAAACGGCAATTCTAGTCAGGCCAAATATTCCGCGAATAGTTGTTACTCAAAGAACTTATTCTCATGAAGCATTTTAGTCATTCAATTTGGAGTAAAAATCAATTACTGTAGAGAATCTGAAAACGAGTAATCGTCCCGACACATCATCTTTATGTATTTGAGTACTATATTATTTGTAGAAATTAAACATTGGAAATTTCATTATGAAATCGAAATCAAAGTAAAGTTGAAATAACATAGAAGATTATAAAAAAGATAAATAATGCAACTTTGTAAAAACAAATCAAAAAATAAAAAATAAAAATTTTTAAAAATATATAATAAGAAAAGTGAATGTACATGAATATATAAAGGCCAGAAAAAGCATTAATTAACTTATGTTCTTTCTAGTGGGGAGTGGGCAAAAGTGTTCTCTTAGCGTCTGACTCAGAAGGGTTGTGTTTCAAAAAATTCTTTAGCAGCAGCGGGGACTTTGAATTATATCAGTTGGTAAGACTTGTGTGAAGAAATTTATGGTAGTGGGAGGGACTAGGAATTCTCGAGGGACATATGCTGTGGAGCTCTTATTTGAGTGAAACCGTCTGTTAAATTTTT